ATGCAGGTAAAGGGGTCCAATTTTCATCCTATCGTACCGAAAAATTATACTGTGTCAAAACTTTTTCAATTTACATATAAACTGTCGAATCTCCTTTAGAAAATTTTTTAGTGTAAAAGGTTAAGGGGGTTCAAAGGTTGTTTTAATTCACAGTTCAAATCTCGACTACGACATACTAGTATATTTTGAATCCCCTTGTATGAACTCCTGACTCCGCTACTGTACAGGGGCTTCCCGACACCCCATTTTGCATGCGTTTAACAGTACGGAGACACTTGGATCTTCATTATGTGTTTTTTCTATTTTTCTTGATTTATGCTCGGGGTTAAAGGTTCACTTAGCGAGCGTTAGACAGAGGCGTATCTAGCGTAGAAGCTATGGGTTCAACTGAACCCATAGCTTTCGCTCATACCCTGTATTTTTGTCCAAAAAATCATTATATATGTACAAATAAAATTTTTTACCCATTAAATTAGATGAGAAATGGTAGAATTGCGAATCTGAACCCATAAAATTTAAATCCTGGATCCGCCTCTGGCGTTAGACTGTTATCAGAGGTGGATCCAATATTTTACGCTTTATGGGTTAAATATTTAAGATTCTTAGCATTAAATCTATTGTATTTTTATAAGTATGAGTTCAGATATACAATTTGTTTGCAATTTTAGTAGATTTATACACATAAACTTGTTACATCTTCAAAGTGAAATTCTTTTTCTAACTAGTTTACCTAAAAATTTTACAGGCTTACACACTAAAAAGATATCCAGCACAATTGTCACTAACTACATGGATGAGTTTTGTTGGAGCAGCACAATCAGCTTTCTATACAGTCATTGTACAACATAAAAGAGCTGCTTGGACCATTGGTTTCAACATTGATTTTTGGTCAACAATATATGGTGTAAGAAGGGTTCAATTATTTCTCTAATGAAACTTAATTTGGATTCATTGTGCCGGGCCTTATTTACTGGTTATTGTTATTATTTTTCACCTATTCTCTTGTTCTAATGTTGCTGTCATTATTTCTATTATTTTCTGTTGATAGTATTGATAAATTGTCTCTCTTTTCGTCTTCTTGAGCCGAGGGTCTACCGGAAACAGACTCTCTACTCCCTCGGAGTAAGGGTAAGGTCTGCATACACACTATCTTCCGGAGACTCCACTTGTGGGACTGCGTATAATAGACTTTTGTGGTCCGACCCTTCCCCGGACTCCGCACATAGCGGGAACTTAGTGCACCGGCTGCCATTCTTTTGTTGTTGTTGTTGAAACTTAATTTGGATGTGACAAACTTTAATGTGTTGTTTTTTATTTAAAACAGGGTATAGTGATCTCTGGTTTAGTGGTGTTTATTCAACTTTGGTGCACTGAGCAAAAGGGACCTGTTTTTGTAACTATGTTCAATCCACTATCAACTATATTAGTGGCAATTCTAGCATACTTTGTCTTTGGGGAAAAGCTATATATGGGCAGGTAAACAACTCTTTCTTGTTTTCTCTTTTCTTTTTGTGAGTGTGAGGAGAATAGAGATGGATTAAAGAACTTAGGGAAAAGCTCCAAATATACCTTTACGGGTTGCGTTCGTTATGTGACTTAACCCAACACCATACAACACGAGCTGATGACAACGCTTGCGATTTGTCTTTATATATAACCTCCATTTGCCTTTCAGCCTATAGGGCCCCATCGTTATCTTTCATCTCAAATATGCCCCTCCCACTAACGATTTTCTACCCTGGAAAAATTGGTCACGACACGTAGGGTATATTTGGACCTTATAATTGTTTAGGGGTATACTTGAACTTTTTTTAATTGTTCAGGGACAAGTCGCAATATATTGTAGAAGAGGCTACATAATACATACTATAGAGTAATATGATAGTTTAGGAATAAATTTGGATCTTTAGTTCGTCTACGTGGCTCCATCGTGTCAATTATTAGAGCCAAGCTGGACAACCATTATAGAGAGGGGCAAATACGAGACGAAATTGACGATGCATGACTTTCATTGGCTGAAAGTGAAAGGTAAACGAAGGACAAATCGAAACTTCAGGGGTAAAGAATCTTTACCCAAGAAGTTAAATTAGTGACTGTATATTACTACTACATTCAGTAAAAATAGCACGGTCTAGCCAGTTTTAGAACTGGTCATTCAAAAATAGCCAGCATTTATCAAGTCAATGAAAAATAGCCACTATTTTGCTGCAACAGAGACCGGTCCAGCATAATATACTGGAGTTCGGTGCACCTGTGTATGAACTTCCAGCATATTATGCTGGAGTTCCAGCATACTTATCCTGGAACTCCAGTATAATATGCTGGAGTTCAAGTATACTTATGCTAGAACTCCAGCATAATATACTGGCGTATTTTCCGGGTTTTGAACAGTGTTTTCACTCAGATTTATCTTTACATCAAAAGTGGCTAAATTTCGATTACTTATGAAACTGAGCTATTTTTAATCGACCACCTGTAAAGCTGGCTATTTTTGAATTTCTCCCCTACATTCACTACTCTGTGTAACAATTGATGCGGACTTAGTATATATATGGTATAATTTCTTGTTCTAAATATACACTTTTTTCTTCACATTTTTTCAGCATAATAGGAGCAGTAATAGTCATTGTTGGCCTTTACTTGCTCTTATGGGGAAAAGAAGATCACAAATCAGAGAGAAATGATGAAGAAAAATGCAGCACAATCAAAAGAGAACAACTTGAAGACCATATGATGCCAAAATTAGCATCAAATGCAACTGGTTTTAAAGCACAAACTTAGAAATCCTTGCCATTCATTTGGACAGCAAACAAAACTTATACTAGCTAATTCCAAGACTATATACAAAAATCCAAAACAATAAATAAATATAAAATCAAGTATCGGGAGTGCTTATCCCTTAATAGACTTTATGCGGCGTGAATCTGAATTAGTCGAGCCAATGACTATCGGATACGAGATGGTTAAACCAAAAAAATTGAGATCAAATTGAGCTTGGTTTCCAAAAAGACCAAAATTATACAAGAGATTGTTGTACTAATTTGGTGCTTCATTTTATTCATTTTCTTTGAAGTCAAGTGTTGCGGCCAAACGCACACGCAAATATACGCGGTCGTCAAGTAATAAAGTGACTAAAAGTCGGATGTCGAACCCACGAGGACTTGTGATTAACTATTAACTAAATTAGACTATCCTAATTATCTAAACAAGAATTAAACCTAGAAATATTTGATTCTAAACTAATTAAAATAAATAAAAACAAATAATGAACTTTGGACAGAGAAAGAGCAGATTTTTATG